GTAAACCAAGAGTAAACCAAGAGTAAACCAAGAGTAAAACAAGAGTAAACCAGAGTAAACCAAGAATAGACCAAAAGTAACGACCATTACACATATCCTAAACTGGTTAATACCACGACAACCCTCTCAATGCTAACTTTTTTTTTTCTTTAATTCTTAGGTTACTCCTCTTTCCGGCCCCCAAACTGACTAAATTAGACTCAAGGCATACACATTAAATGGCAGGGGTCGTAATTAAACTAACCAGGGAAGTTTGGCACGGCTGTTAGCATTCAAATTAAGGTTCTTCAGTCATTTTACCTTGCGGAATTGAGTTTGGCGGTTTGTTTTGGCGGATTCTTCTTTTGTCTTTTCGGCTTTGGAGGGGGATTGCATTCGAGGGAACAGTTTTCGGAATTTCATGGTGTGGGTGTCCGGATATATTCTCCGTCTACTTTGGGGGAGTGATTTTTGACAATTTACGACGTGTAGGCTGGAATTGCGGATTTGTACATACTATGTGTTGGCTATATCTCTATTTATTTTCATTTCTTTTCATATTGGGGAAATACGAGTACGATAAATTGTGGTGGTCGTGGTAACTAGTGTATTAGCGGTCGCTTGTAGGGCTAATTCCTCCACCAAAACACCAGAACAACATACATGGGTATCCAATATCATTAAATTAACTAGATATAGTACATATACCAGATCATTACAGTAAATATCGTAAACGCCTGGAAAACCAAGCCATCGAATCTCTAACAAAGTAGCAAACCCAGATACGCCCAATACGCTCACAACTTTTTCATCCTCATAATCCAGACAAGGAAAAAGCCTCACTCCCGCCTCGACACGGAAGTCTCAACATCGACCGTCTTGAAGATGGCGAGCGATCCACCAGGGTTCTCTCCTCCATAGTAATTGCGGTCCCCGTGAACGGTCGTTTCAACCTTCGGCTCGCTTTGCGCATTATGCATCAGAACGTCCTGGTCCGAGGTCGTCGTCTCCAGATAACTCATGCGGCTTCGGCTTTTGTCGGTTTTCAAGCTACGGCTTTGGTTTTTCATCTTGCTTAGCTCGTGGCCCGAGGTCCCACCGGTGGCTTTGTTGCTGGAGTATTCGTGGTAGACGCGGGAGAGGATCGCGGAGAGGGCAGGGAGACAGGCGCAGATGACGCCGATGGCGATTTCGGCATTTCTGTGTGGTTCAGATTAGTTAGCATATGGGCACAATGATACGCGGGTTAGGAAGGGATGGATGCCTACCCGAACATGTTAATCCGCATGAATGCCATGGTGCCATCCTTCGACTGGCCCGTGTAAACGATCAATATAAGTCGAATGATGCTCGATGCAACGGCGAGACCTCCTGCACCGAGAATACCCATGACTCGCATCTTCTTCTTCGTTGGGAGTTGCAGACCCAGGGTTAACGGTAGCGGAACAAGGAGGATGATGAGGTCGCTGACCACGCTGACGACCGCGTCGGCCATGATGATGGCACGCTGATTGAGACATGAGCCTGGCTGATCTGGTGTCCAGAATTTGGAGATCGGGTCGCAGATTCGGATCTTGACAATCACGGCGGGAATGTAGTAGGCCAACATGATACCAAGGAAGATGTAGATGAAGGTCACGGCTTTGCGGAATGGGCTGAACACTCGGGTCATGATCCACAGGAGCGAGACTTTGGTCAGGTATGCGGTTGGTCCGTACATCACCATGGTTACGTAGACGGTCTGAACAGGTCAGTAGGTGTAGAATTTCGGAGGAGGTTGTGAATTACTTTTTGGAAGACAATCTGGTCCTCCGGGGATACATCGTCAATGTGCAGACCCCCTCCATGTGCGCCCACTGCTGGCGGTTAGACGGTCATAAATCTGAATGACGGACTACTTACTGATGAGCGCAATGACAGAGTAGCTGATTCCAAGGAGCTGTTGTCACATATGACTTTAGCGCAGATGATTAGCTATATAGAGTGAAGGACGTACCCAAGCACCTAGACAGGTCCCTGTGCTGAGTTAGCATGCAAATCACTGTCCTGACAAGGATGTTTCTTACAGTCTTCTTTGTTAAAGCCATTGAGAAGGAAGACCCGGGTGTATACACGCAGTAGGAAGAACAGAGTCATTGCAGCGATGCATAGTGACTGGGTTACTGTGTTCCATTTTTGCACTGTCCTGTCAATAGAATTGGCATCGTCTCGTTCAAAGAGCTGTCCAAGAGCCATCTTGGGTGACGGGCACCATGGGTCGGCTTTTGCAGTGAGTGCAACGGACTAGACAAGGTTTAAGCCTGAGATTAAGACAGGGTATTAAAGAAATAGGAGCTAAGGTTCTAGTACGAGAGGGGGCAGGAGAACGCTCCGTAAACGCTTGGACAGATCCAATCTCCTCCGGAGTTCATTGAGCTTAAGATCTGTATTAAACCGTACTGCCTACGATTAGGGACCCAAGGCTAGGATTCCCCCTGAAGGGAAGGGCAGGAAGATAGGAACTAGTGCTACTAATAGTGTCAAGAGACCATCACAGTTTTCAGACTGAAAAAGAAAAAGTGATGGCCGTTAAAATGACTTGGCGATTGCCACACAGGGTGGGATGGATTGACTGATGCTTTGCATGATCTCGCTATATGATTGGCACGAGAATATGCGGCCAAGAAATGCAGATCCAACCCAGAATCGAAGTTTCGTAACGAACCTGGGATAGATTTCACTACCATCGGCCCGGGCTGGTGGACTTTAGCGTCGTGATGGGGAGACTGCCGGTCGTTGCTCTCATAGGTAAGCGTAATCACGTCTGACAGAAGGTCGAACCTGGCATCGAGAGGGCCAAGACTTCACGGTAGAGAGCGCTTCGCTTGCCAGCTTTTCTCATAGCCAAATTGAAGAATCGGGGTTTGGTTCAAGCAGAGGCGGGACTGTGAGCAAATAAGGAAGATGAATCACAGCGCAGGTCGGAACTTTCTCGGCGTCCGTGTCCCAAGCGTCAGGAGTCGAATGTTACCTAAAACGCTCCATTTCCTCCCGGCTTTTAGGTTCTTTGGAACCGTAGCGGAATCCACCTCCCGCCCGAAGTGGAGACGCTAATCGGCTGTGACCCTTCACAACTAAGCCCTACCCAGTAATGATATGTCGATGTGGCCCTACAAACTGGATTCTCCCTGAGGGACAGGCGAAGGATTCTGGTCTTGTCCCGAGCGCCTTCGTCACAGTCCCGATTAACCGAAGTTCGTTGTCTCAGCAGATGGGTCAAGCATGGGAATGACATGACATTCTGATATTAATTCTCGGGAAATCTCCGTATGTAGCTCGACCACCTGATATCCTTGCCCAGCCGCATTAGTCAAAGTAACCCGGAGCTTGAAGTGACTCGACTTGGCTAGTTTCAGGAAAATTGACGCCCCTGACGTCCTTCACTACAGGGGTAGTGTGGATGTGCATCCTGGAACCATGGGGACGCTGCACTCCTAATTGTCCAGAGTTAACGCATCCAACAAGTACTGTGGTAAAGTATACGGTGCGTGGGACTTGGGCCAGTGGTAATGCACTATGAGAAATATGTAGCAGGCCATTGATTTCCTTGCCCCCGCGGACCTTTGAATGCTGATTCTTTTCCTCTATTTTGTTCTTTGTCGTTCTTGGTGGTCGTGGCTATAATACGTGCTATTAATTCTCCGTACTAAGATGCGCTAGAAATGCACGATCCAGGATTGTTGCAGATGGTACTTTTGTGGCTCCTAGACCCGATCTCAGAGGTGATGCATCTAGAAGAGAGCCATGATGTTCGGTGGCGATGACACGCCACCGGGCATGTTCAACGGGACCGATGCCACAAAGAAGCTCCATCGTTGAAGATCCTGGCAGGTGCGTGCCAATGCTTCGAGGTCAAAGAGCTCGCCTGGCACATGAATTAGAGTAGATCCATAAACGGTTTTGCCGAGCCGCTCAGATTTTCAACTCACCGATTGGCATTCCCCATCCTGCGAGTACATACTCATGCAGGAACACATCAGACTGGGGCGGGTAGACCTGTCACAATGTTATTAGTGCCAACGGTCTCCAAGAATAGATACTGCAAGAATTGTCATACCTCCCAGCTAATAGTGTCGCTAGCAATCGCTGCAAATCCCGAGTCCCAAAGCCACCGGAGCATATCTGTTGTGGCTTCGACTCCAGCATGTTCCGGGCTCGGGTTGTCAGAGTATTGCTTCTTTTGCTCATCCGTCATCACAGTGTCCCATTCCCTAGTTACTCCCACACGAACAAACAGGATATCGCCCTTCTGGAAAGTGATGTTGCATTCCTTCGCAATTTCCAGGATGTCTGATAGTCGCACCTGATGAGTGGAAAAGGTGCTGTACGTGATTCCCTTCTTCTCAGCCCATGCGGCGTAGTCAATCAAGACCCCGCGACCTATGATCACGGAATGAGATTCATACTCTCGGAGAGCCACAGGAGAGAACATCAAGGATAAATGGGAAGATCCATACCTGCAATACCTTCCCGTGCCCAGTGTTGCATACCAATCCGATCGTTGCTACGGTCATTGATCTCCTCAGCTGTCACGCCGCCGTAGAACACACGCTCGGTCTGGCCAGGGACAGTTTGAGAGAAGTGTCGCAGTCCATCCCACTGACTACTTTGTTCTAGATGCTCGATCTATTAGATGTGACCGATACCACGCTCCAGGTACATTGAAAACCCACGAGGATTCATTGTGTAGATATCATCATAGGCCACTCCGCCCAGAAGTGGGACAATCTTGTGCTGACATGGCTGACGGTTTAGGTTAGGATAGTTCAACTTTGTTAAATCCCATCCCATCGTGACTCTTCGACCAGTTTTGATTTCGGTCGAAGCGGCCTTAGCCACCACCTCGGGGGTCAGGATGGCTAGCTTCCCAAGCCCTTCTTCATAACTACCAGGCTTTCCCACCCACACCTGTTTGGGGTTGGGAAGTTCGTCGAAAGGGACATCGAAGGGGGAAATGCTGCCCATGATTTTAACGGCGATCCAGTCTACTTGTAAAGGGGAGGTCGGAGGCACGCGGCAAAGTATATCTCAAAGCGTGTAAGAAAATAATAAGGATAGCGTGAAAGACGGTTTTACATGTAGCAGGTAAGCTGCTCTGCGGTAAGGTTGTCAAGATTTAAATTTTCTGCAAGCTTTCCTAAGCTTAATGCGTGCATCCGACACCCACCTGTCCCCCAAACCATTGAGTCTAACGATTTGGAGGGGCGCAAACATCGAGGTGGGACGGCGTCGGCTGAGGGGGAGCAGGCTTCAGCTTCGAATAAACCACTCAGGACCACACAGGGACCCAGCTAACGGTACGGCACATGACAGTCAACGTATGGCGTACTTTGTAACGTGCAGGCATCAAGTGGAGAAAATGGGCCTTGCAACGGGTGTAAGTTCGTTAAAGGAAGCACAGACGCGTACTAGATTTCGTAGAAGGAAAGGATAATCCAGCGTCTGGGCAGGATTTGTCAATAGGGTGAGTAGGTTGAAACCCGGTCATACCAAGTTTTAAGGGCAACCAAACAGTATGGGATTTGCGAAGGCATGCATCTGAATGGACGAATAGCGAGGCAAGGGATCATGCCAATCACTGCGGCCATCAGCAACTGGCCGGAACTGCTCCATAGTAGCACTCAGTAGGTCCAGTGTGTGTAGGACACATATTGACCAGGTGAATAATCATTTTCGAGTCTGTTGTGCAATTGGACTGATGGCATGAGTGCCGATGGTCCGGATAAATTGTTCCATAATTGTAGTCATAGAATGTGAGGGGATTGGGAAGGTGGTGGAGATTTCAGACAGGAATTAATTATTTGGGAAAAGAAAGAAACAGTCACGGGAGACGGCTTCCCGAACGCAGTTTAGTGGCTTTCTGCCGCTAACGCCTCGAATCACGACAACCACTGGACTATCCAGAGACACGAGGCGACGAGGAAAATGTCCCACACACCATGTCAGGGTTTAGTGCCGGTCTCGTCATGCAGTTAACACCTAATCCAGAAATGGTACCTCTCGGAGTCGCGATATTGACAGAGGGTGGACCCGAAACATTCTCCACGGTCCACCCTCGCCAATGCACACCATGCCATGCGCCTTGCTAGTACTGATAGTGGCCTTGCAGCTTTCCGCCATGAGTACTAGGTTTTAGAGACTAATGCAATAAAGGAGTGGGTGCTTGCAAAAGCTGTTTTCCGATCGTTATACTGACTACTGAGTGGTTGTCGAAAATTTCAGTCTCGAAGCTGGTGTGTTGATCCCCTGCGAGGCTAGTTGACAGTAGCTCGCAGCTCTTTCTCGACGAGATTTCTTCTTCCCCCTGGAGCTTCTTGAGGGACGCCAAAATTGTACGAACGAAGTCAGTGAAGTGAACATCCTCTGATCATCTCAATTGACCTATCAATTCCCTGTCGCATTTGTTTTGTCCTGTCATATTTGTCCTGCTCCTTGAAACAATTCGCATTCGGCTCAGTGCAAATCCCTGCAAGGGAAAAACGACCTGTCCATCATGGGTACGTTCGGGTCCCAGACCAGCACTTACAACAAGCTGGTCGCGATTTTCGTCGCCGTTGGTTCAATGGTAAGCGTTGCCTCACTTAATCGCTACCTGGTAGTGCTATGCATTCTAATTGGCCCCTGTATAGACCTATGGCTATTGCTCCTCAATCATCTCCAGTACGATCGGTCAACCAGGGTGGTATACCTACTTCAACCTTCCACAAGAGGGTGAACCGGGATATGCTACGATTACGACACCAGCCATTTCCACCGCCAATGGCGTCTTCAGTGCTGGAGGTGCTGTTGGCACGCTATTCATAATGTGGTCTTGCGATTACTTTGGTCGAAAGGTCAATATTCAGTTTGGTGCTTTCTTTTCGATGTTTGGAGGGGCGCTTCAGGGAGGCGCGAACTCTCTTAAGTATGTATCGCGTCAATGTTTTCTTCTTCTTCCAGAGACAATACCCTAATGGCCTTTCAGAATGTTCCAAGCCGGTCGGTTTGTGTGCGGTCTTGGAATCGGTATTCTCGTGACAGTTTGTCCCATGTATCTGTCCGAGATGTCGAGTGCTTTCCGCCGTGGCTGGCTGGTCGGCCATCATGCGATCTTCCTGGTTTTCGGTTACATGCTTGCTGGCTGGGTCGGCTATGCATGCTACTTCGCTGAAGGAAAATTGGGCAGTTTCGGATGGAGGTTTCCCCTTTGTCTCCAGTGCCTGCCAGCTCTAGTGCTGCTTCTCGGTTCACCATGGCTTCCTCGTTCCCCCCGATGGCTGATTTCCAAAGGGAAGCATGAGGAAGCTAAGATCGTGCTGCAGAAGCTTCGACAGTCGCCAGATGATCCCGACAACCTGGTTGCTAAAGAGGAATATTTCCAGACGGCGGAGCAGATCCGCCTTGAGGCGGAGAGGTTATCCACCTATGGAAACGTGTGGAATGCAGTCCTACGGAAGAAGTCGTACAGAAAGCGAATGGCAATTGGCTTCCTTACTCAATGGGGCGCTGAATTCGGTGGACCATTGATCATTGTGAGTATCACGTTTCCAGAGGCGAAGTTTGTACTAATATACTGATCTGAGTAGAACAACTACGCCGTCATTCTATACACCAACCTTGGAATGACTGGGGGCATGCCTTTGCTTCTTAGTGCTGTTTGGCTGACTACAGCTGGTAAGAGGACTTGGTAGTGCTCAAGGGCTATACGCTGACAGTATCGCAGGTATTATATACAATCCTCTTGGCGCCTGGCTTCACGACAAGGTCAACTCACGTCGTGGCATGTATATCACTGGCTTTGTTGGCATCATCATCTCCACCTCATGCTTGGCTGCTATGACCGCTGAATATGCAGGCACCATGAACAGGGTTGGAAACGGGTTTGGTATTTTCTTCATTTACCTCTACTTGGCTTTCCAAGGGTCAGTACCAACCATTTATTCAATCGTCCTATCGAACAATTATTTACTTCTTGCAGAACCTTCTGCGACACTACCATGTATCTCTATGTCTCGGAGATTTTTCCGACTGAGATTCGCCCAATTGGCATGGGATTCTCCCTTTTCGGACAATTTGCTGGTGCGTTAGATATCCTACAAAGGCGTCTGCGAGTCTTATAATTAACTAACTGGTCATAGCCACCCTCATTTTACTGCAGACCGCCCCTATGGGTTTCAACAATGCTGGTTGGAAATACTATCTGGTTATCATCTGCTGGTCGGTTGTTTTCATTCCAGGTAGGCTCTCATGCCCGTCAGACTTCCCGCTCTCGCTTACATTTTCGCAGTGATCTATTACTTCTTCCCCGAAACTGCGCGATTGACACTCGAGGAAATCGCAAAGAACTTTGGAGAAGAGGTCGCTGTTCACGTTACTGATGCGACCGACGAGGAAAAGGCCCAACTCGAGCAGGACCTGGCCGCAAGATCAGACAGCTCTGAGCCTACCGGATCGGTCAAGGGTGCTGAAGTTGGTAACAAGTCAGTGACAGAGGGAGTCCACGAGGCGCCAAGGATTGAATGAAAGCCCTGGGCTACGAAGTCTAACATGAGGTGTTATTGCATACACTCTAAGCTCAAGTGATCTCCTTCGGGCTATATGGAAGCAATTCCTCCCGAGACCCTTAATAGCTGGCCAAACTGGCTGTCCAGTCGCTACTAACTGCGCTCTGTTCTGACCCGTAACTGGGCCATTAGAGTCCAACATTTATGACGCTCTCTTACCAGGCATTATTAGAACTGCCTAGGACTTGCCGTCCCAAATCAATTGAGGGACCACGATGACGAGGTTTCATTGCACCTCATACGATCTTTACGAAATGACACTACAGCATAGATGAATGGAATCTTATATAGGCTATACAGTTGAATTTTAATTTATGCCAGATAGTGCGATGAGCTACCGTGGCACGCTTTTCTAAATATTGATACTGCCTTTTATCCTCTAATCACTTTTGTATGTAGGCCATGATGCTAACATCGCAGCGCTTTGTTCTACTCGACGCCATATAACCATCCCGCGTCGCCTTCCAAATAGCGGGGTTACATTGGGTTATATTTGGGATTAATGTATCTGCCCTGATCGGGGTACTTTTCATTCCTCGTATTGCTAACTAACAACGTCTTGTTGAGGCTCCGACACTGCCTAAACAATGTCTTTCCACGCTGACTGATCCCGTCAAAACTGTCAAGGTAAACCTCCAAAAATTTACAATAGATTCCCTATGATATTCCCCTTACAATGCAAAATAAACAATGAATCAAGGGTATCCACCTGATAACCCCCCTGACCCCGAACGGACGAAAAGTCCACATGCTTCTGGAAGAGCTCCAGGAAGCCTGCGGCACAACCAGCCTCATTGACATCGACACCAAGGAACAAAAGAAAAGAATGGTTCCTCAAACTCAAACCCAACAACAGATAACCTTCCACCGCTCCAGAAAACCACACGATACCAAGTAGGCCATCGTCAGGCCGAATTCCCCTTCTAGTAGACAACACCAGAAACCCACCTACCTGGCCATGGAATGCTCCGCAGAACTGCTCTACCTCGTCTCCAGTGTCGACAAGGATCACTATATCTGGTTCTCGGACCCAATTGAACAAAGCGAAGCCTGCCAATGGTTGATCTTCTGGCATGCCTTGTGGTAACCGATCCAGGCACAATATCATTTTTTTCCCAGAACAACATGAATTATCGTTGTATGTGTATATCCTACTTTGGTTTTAGGCGCGAAGAAGCACTAATATCCTTCCTCTAGATGCGACGAGCCACTTTAAAGGCGAGGTTCTCCGCATTTACCACGGTCTGGAAAGGCATCTATCATAGAAGCGTAATGGTATTGCACGGGAGTACCTTATTGAACCCGGTAAGGGAAGTATAGCATTGTTGATATCAATGCTTGGGCTTGGATTCGGACGCATCGGTCTATTGGGTCCTCGGAGGGTGAGGTGGCGGCTTTGCCTTTCTTGAGGCAGTGAATGGATCGTATCGCGGAGAGGCCGACGGTGCAGCGAGGATGGGGGGAAATGTTAGGATGAGAAGTTTCGTTCGGAGCTGGTGGTTAGGATGGAGTGAATCTTAGGATGTAGTGATACCCATAGACTTCCCTGCCCGGTCAAAGGTGACCATGCATTATTGAGGTAGGGTTTGGTCTTGTACACAGTTAATGTACCACTCGTTGAGACTTGTGATAGATTACCGCAAGGAGGATAGCAAGCTCTATTTAATCTTCTAGTTCATACTCACGAACAACAAAAACGACGAGAAAATAACACAAATGAGCCAGGAGGCATGTGCATACCAGGGAACCCAAGTTACCAAAGGCATCAGTGATTTGCAAGTCAGGTCTGTATACCATGGTCCAAAGTAGGGCTGATAACAGGCGATTAATCTTGTATACTTGAGAAGTAGTTGAGTGACTATAAGGGAAGGGGTTAAGGAGAGGAAATTCTATGCAATAAGAACTTTTTTTACATGACTAAGGTTTGCTCAACAGTATCAGCTAATACTTATGAACATCTGGACCTAGAATTCGCTTGTTTTTATCTAGTTGCTTTGCCTATGTATCGGGATAGAGATGGCTAGGCTGAATTAGAGGGAATGGGATGTGTTCGGTCACCTGTCATTGGTGTGGCCAGGACAATGGGGCTTCGCAGACGACACAGACTGCTGGCTTCGACACGCAAGTCTCTTACTGAGGCGAGGTCTATGTATGGGTCCAGACGAACCCTCCAACAAATCATAAATAGGTAGTAGGCGCAATGTATCCTCAAACACTTGAGCGGTGCGTGCCACATCAGAAGATGTGAAAACATATCGATGTAAGTAGAATCTTAATCAGATGAACTTTGACCATCAGCAACCCAGACCTATAACATATCAGTAGAACTACGTGGAAAATGGTCTGAATGGTTGGTTATACGAGAAGAAAGAAATAACCTTGTCCCTTTAACCAGTTTATCCCATAAAACGGGCAGACTAATCTACTTGATGGTCACATTAAATAGTTGCTGTTGAACATGTTCTCAATATATGTCAGTTAATGCTTTCTCTACAATATCTTTTTTACGCTTTTGCATGCTACAGTTCTTTAAGGAAAGTAACTAGAGTAGTAGTCTTGAGATACCGTCACGGGAGTTTGAACACAAAGTTGAGGAATAGGGTGCACATATCGATCTTGTATTGACCCTAGTCAAAGCTTGAAAAATATGTTCTTTCAATTCCTTGCACAGTATCCTATGTATACAGAGAGTGTAGAAGACTCTTATCCCAGGATGTCATCATTGCAAGCAGGGATGAGGATGCATAGTTGAAAACATCCTGATGGCCAATAATAGAGAGGACTAGTGGGAGTTTGAGGGAAAGGTCAAACCTTTCAAGACTGCTACTGACTCTTCACTGGTCACAGTAGATGTACTCAACATTCACGGGATTGGATGTAAGAGTGAGTTTCAGCAATCTGGGTCAAGCTGAAGGGCATGCATTAGCTTGGGTATACGAGGTGCATATGTGCTAATCATGAGCGTCTTAGAGGCGTTGCCAAGAATGCTCATATCTGTACGAGATAGATAAATAGAACAGGTATATTTACTAGGTAGCACATGACTATAGAGTATTAGGGATCGTGTGGAGACAAGCCTGTTCTATATAGATTAAAGATAGGAGTGTTGCAGCCAATGTCGCAGGCGCGCCATGCGGTTCCCAGTAGGAAGCATCCTCGGGGAAGTCGTACAGCGATATCCGACGGTATGCCAAGATGGTAAGATGAAGTGTCTTGTGCCAAATCACTGGGATTCGATGTATCACTAGATTCGTCATATCGCTGATTACTTACGCATACCATTGAAATCGTAGGTATTTGGCTGATAGTCTCTATCGACTCGAATGCGAGTTAATCTACCGTACATTCCCAACGGCCAGAAATACCCCCGATGCACCTCCATATCAACATCAAACATCTTAAACCCCTGAGGAATCGCCAGGCTAGATATCATCTGGACTGGTCTACAAGGGCACCTCACTCATGGTAAATAAAACACAAAAGGAGCTGGAGGTATTCGCCTCAATATTCGTCGTGATCTAGGTAGCCTAGAGTAATATGTTAAACTTCCCTTTCCCAAGACCTTCAATAACCGAAGCAACTCTTCAACTAAGCTACACACGCTTGGAAAATAACGTCCAATTGCCTCACGGAAATCGCCAAATTCCGCGCCCTCCGCTTTCCGATCTCCAATATCAGTTGTGTCAGGTGAATACGTCCTAAAAAGAAGAGATCGACCTGGAAGTCGGGCTTGTCCCTTCGGTCTTCTCCCTTCGGTGTCTCGGGGTATCACGAGCGACCCTTACTAGGGACGGTGATTACTCACGCTAAAGATGAGTATAGCCAGGTAGAGCCGACAATAGTCAAGTAGTGGTGGCAGGATAGGAGGAAACCGAGCTAGTAGTACTGTTGAGATTGCGGTATTTGCTTTTGGTCCTTACGCGGATACTTCAGGATCGGTAGGAGGTCCAAGGTTCCATTCTATCGTTTGCTCTCTTTTCGGTTTGGCGTTATTCCTTCTTTTCTCTTCTCCGATTGCTCCGTATGAAAGGAGCTATATGCTATAGTGGGACATACATGTCTAGACCATACATGTGGCCTTCCCCCCCCCCTCTCTCTTTTCCTTCTTGCAGCTGTGGTAGTATGGTCAAGACAGAAAGAACACGGAAGAGACCTTCTCATAGTGAAAAATACTATTGCCTGATTCATATACAAGGTATGCACATCCCCATATCGGGTATCTATAAATAACTACGTATTAGAATCACGCACTTAATTAATGTACCAATTAGCAACTACTCCAACACGATAAGATAATGTATCCAACTCAACAATCACCGTATAGGAATGAGCTCTTTCAATCTCTGCCAGTTCCCGAGCTGAACGTACTGAGAACGATGCATATTATCCGATTATATCACCCCTTCCGAGGCTAATCATTGGATATGCGCATGCACAAACCCGAGGCTATCCCCGGCTCTTTCTCCTAACATCTTAAGGTTTGTAGCTACCTTACAACTAATTCTTTAGACTCATGTCATTTTGGTTTAGGCCGCGGAGCACTCTAACCTCATCTCATCCGACCCGTGGCCATGGCCCAGTCAACAGTGGTTCAGCTCTCAGACCTCTTGTTTTGCAGCGGTGCTGTTGGTCCGTGGGCTTGTTGGGACGGAAAGCTTTTCTTCCTCAACTGAAGTCCTTATGTCAGCCCCATTTACCTTCTCACGGAGCATGGTGGTCCGTGGTTCAGTTCATTAAAGTCACAACCTTATTGTCATCTGCGGTAGATCTTAGTAATTATTTCCGACATTGTCCGATGGCGGCCGAATTCAATGAGACGTTTGGATGGTTTGGTAAATAAGCTTCGTACTCTGTTTCCAGGTGATAGGGTAATAGACGGTTGAAACCGTACCAAAGAAGCGTGATATGATGAAAGGAACGGTAGAACGTGGGCATACGTAATGGAAGCATATTTGATCAAATTGTCCCATCGTTCACTGGTGGGAGGTTTGATTAGTCGAAGAACGTGTCGATGGGACGGGATATGGAGTATCACCGTTCCTAGCCACTTTAGGATCATTTTCCAGTGGAATCGTTCTTCCATGGAAATCACAATTCCGGTGGAATAGGGTCCCATGGAGCACGTGAGGGCCAGGATCTTCCGGAAAATAGTGGAGTCGCCTGACACTCGGGGAAGTCGTAGGATAGGACTTCCCCGAACAGCATAGATAAGCGTATGCCCCTTTTCTGGTGGCTTGAGCGCTCTTTTGTTCTTGTCCCCTCCTGAGACTGTTTTGGGTTGAGGATGGACATGTTCGCCGAAATTATGATGGTTCGAATTTAGATTAGATCGACTTTGCTAGTAATCGGTTTTCACAGACCCAAAACGTGAAGGCTGTGACCCGCGATGATCTTGTACGGACAGTCCCCGAAGGGTGAAGGGCGAGCCACTAGTATATGCTTCGCGCGGTGGAAAATCATTTCTAGAAGATTGGAATCCATCATATGCGAAGGGAACCCAGAGCATGTGATCTATAAATGAGGCCCTATACTCTTCACAACGTATGCATGAATATTGCAGTGTTCGACGGAGGATTTTTGGGGTCCAAGGCATGACCGCCCGCGGGATGGCATCGGCGATCAACCCCTCTGGCGGAGAAAGGGACCTGGGTTGTGAAAGATGAGCACAGCCAAGGGTAGCTGATGGATTTAACCTTAGTTGATCCATATTTCCGGGATCTTCGAGCGCAGACTGAGTGTCGATGGTGGTGATCCTGACCATCAAAGGTCGTGCCATATTACGGTACAGCGGAGTTCACGATACCGCAAGTTCGATGTGCATGGGCCCAGATGTGGCCATCTGCCGACTAATGCAAATACCGTCGATCGTGGTATAGTGAGAAATAATAGGAGCGACTATAGGAAATGAACTGACCCTGACGCAATGATTGCCAAATGACTTTACTATTGGCCAACGAAGCAAAAGTTCCACGGATTGGGTCAAAGTTAGCGCACTCACCGAAGCCTTGATGGTCAGCAACGGGCCGCAGGATCAGCAGTCCTCCGTACCGTCGCAAGTGACAACGTCTTGATTGTTAATGCTCGAATCTCGCCCACGTTCTCAGGGACCGTCGATAATTAAAGTTACAAAGCCTCTGACATACGTATGGTATAGCCGTATCTTATTCATTTATCGTCCCACTTCATGTGTATGAAAAGTGAAACAATCCATGCTATGCCCAAAGGGTTCGAGACCTGGTCGATCCTCAATTTGAGCCATTGAATGAAAGCCGGTGCCGGTGGGAGCCCCCGACGGTACCAAGGACGGATGACTGTCTAACTGCATGATAGAGTTGAAAGCTCGCTCTTGGCATACTAGGTTCAAGTCACTAGGAGGCAACCGGAGGAAAACTCCCTCGCGTAGTGTGGTACCGCGGAACCCGCTTAATGTAACCGCGGCTTGCGTGCGATATGTTCTCGAATGCCGCTAGATGTTATTAAACAAATACTAGGCAGGTCGGACTTGATCGATCGCAAACATCAAATTGCATGGATGCCTATCGGTAGTCCTTCGGTCACGAATACTAGCCATGCATAGAGTTTCTCGTTGAGAGCGGCGGACTAAGGCGGCAGATTCCGGTTGCAGCCAGGGACCCGGTCACATATTCCCAGCACGATTTTGTGCGTCGATCGGAGTTTTGACTGCAGGAGATATTGGTATCTTTTCCCATTTTGCAATGTACTAACAAGGATAAATGCCATTGTTCAGTCGTAACGATCAAGGCAAGGCCACGCGGGAGGCGGGTCTAGGAATTCTCGAATGAAATGGCACGAGGTGACAACTCGTTTTAGTAAAGTGGATGAATCCAGTACTTAGCGCTAGTGATAGCCAACATTAGTTCACTTCTCGGCGTGAATCCTTCTGGAGACCACACCCTCGGCTTCTCCCCATGACCATCGCTACTGGTCAGGGGAAACCAAATCCTTAGCTTTGGGACGATCACCAAATTATAGGCCAGCAGCACTATCGGTTGGAATCGTGGCAAGTGGATCCTGTGGGGACCCGAGAAACAGTGGCCCAGACTACTCAGTCCCGGATGAAGTCACTGAACCAGAGTAACTGGCCGTTCCATTGGGCAGATGTGATGAGGTATTTTTTTCCACCTGCAGATGAAAGGTTATTATCCCACTAACACTGGAGACAGTTGCCTGCAGCTAAGGACTGCAGTGACCGCGGGATTGGGAATCATGAAGAGCAGCAGTACTCCGTACGGAGTACTAGAGAACAATATGATCAACCACTAGGGTCGATCAGCGGTCGTGGGAGAATTTTGGACCAAAGACTCCGGGCGGAGGGAGCATCCACCACACACACACCAGCACAGTATGACCACACCACCGACACACAGACATTATGGTAGCATTTCTTTTACTCCGCTTTTGAGTCGTGCGGTGGGTTTTAGAATTCGAATGGTGTGGATGATCCATCTGCATGTGAGAAATTGAGACAAGTACGGAGTACGTAGTAGGGAGAGGGATAGTACGGAGTCGATTGATCGCATATCTTGGACCCCAAGTCTCAAGAGAGCCCATGGGTGGGAAATTTTGAAGCGTCGAGGAGAAGAAAAGGACGACGACAAGTGAATTCTCACCTCCAGGATTTTCGGTCGCCCGCAAATCCAAACGGGGTCAAACCAATCAAACGTTGCAAAAGACCCCACTGGAGCCAATGATTGAGACTTGTCGCCTGTTTTTGGAAGGTTCCAATGAATTCAGGTTCCCAATTTAATTAAATTGCAATTTAAAGGTAATTTTGAAAAAGAGTCTCTGACGAAGTTAACTTTTCCCATTTCGCCTCTTCAACTACGACTTGGACGACAACGTCGACTACTATTCTTATCACGCTGTACCTATCCTCCGACTCACTCTCGTTTCGTCCTCTGACATATCTACGTCTCACTTGCCACCTCTCCCCCAAATGTTCTTTTCGTCAAGGAGGTGATAACCCTTAGTCCTTATCGTCTGGCTATCCCTCGCTCAGGCTGGACCTACTTCTCTCGTTCGCCTTTATGTCTCAACCCCACGGTTTCTCTACAAATCCCATCTCACCTCATGGAGATCCAAACGGTAGTCTGCGCACAGGCAAAGCCTCCTTCAGCAACCCCGCAATCTGCGCCCGCGCCTGAGAAACGGAAGCGGGTGCGCCGATGGCACCACCGGGGGTTTACCGGCTGTTCGACATGTCGTCGACGTCATGTTCGCTGTGACGAGGCTTCACCTTCGTGCAAGAATTGTACTCGTTTAGGTCTAGAATGTGACGGCACACAAGGCCGGATGACCTTCAAGGTCTATGGCCCACCTCAAGCGCCGGAGTCTTCGTCTTCACCACCGAAAAAGCGAGAGCCAAAGAAGCCTATCTCGCATGTCCTGGATCCCACCGATGGCAATAAATTGATTAAAATTGAACCTGGCGAAGAGGACGAATCCTACGATGCGCTTGTAGTATCCCCAACCACCATCCCGGAATCGAAGCCGATGAAATATCGATTTCAGGAACCCATTTCGCCAGCCGTCTTCATGTCTTCGTCATTAGATTGCGTGGATGGCCGCTATTATACGCATTTTATCGACAGTGTGGCAACCTTGCTACTGATCTACGATAACTCAATCAACATCAACCCTTACAGACGATATTTCCCCGAACTGGCCCGGTCATCGCCGACCATGGCCAACGCGATGCAGGCACTGGGAGCATTACATCTCGCAAATACATCTAGAGGCCAACAACGGAATCTACACTTTCAACGGGCCATGGGCAAATATGGCGAGGTGGTCAAGTCTTTCCGCACTCGGTATACGCAGCCCGACCAGAACCTGCAATTAACCGACCTCGCCACTTGTTTATTACTCTCTCTTTTCGAAGTAAGTAGCTTCTTTCTTTTGCCCCGGCATCTGCAAATACCCCTTGACGATACTCATGTCTATGTCGTTCTGAATAAAAGCTGACTTGGCCAGATGATGGACTCCCAAAATCATAACTGGAACATTCATCTGAAAGGTGCTCGTGAAATATATCGTCTACTTTTCCATCCGAATAGTGATCCGGCCAAAGAAGCGCAACGCCAAGCCGAAATGAACCACCCACTTCGACATTTTCTTGTTTCTCTCCTTTCTTACCTTGATGTCGCAGGCGCCTGTGCCACTAGCGAAGGGACTATAGTTGAGGGCAGCTACTGGAGAACGCATGGTGGCGGCTGGGAATATAACCTGGGTATCCCAAGTTTGTCGGCGGATACACCCGCCGAGAATCCCCTTCTCGTGGAACTTCGCCAGTGTTGGTCTCAGATGATGGAGATCCAAGCAGCTATCAGTTCTTTCGGCAAGGCAAAAAGCGAGGGGCAGCTACCCCCTGAACAGCAAGACTTACTGTGCCAGGATCTCATGGGACGGCTAGTCCAGTGGCGGCTCAATGCTCCAAAGTGTATCCAAGAAGTCGGCGAACTAGACGACGAGAGCTTGCAGCGATATCCCTACCCACAAGTCTTGGAATATGCTGGCTGTATCGAATCCTACGAAAAAGCGACCGTTGTCTACTTGCATAAGGTCGCAGACGCAGACCGCCCAGACCGCGTTCCCCAAAGAGCCCTGCTAGACATGCTTGCGTCGCGAATCTTGAATCTGATTGGGAAACTTGCCAAAGATGTTGGCCAGCTGGCAGTGCTGTGGCCTTTGTTTACCGCAGGCCGCGAGACTCGCAATGAGCGTGAGCAGAAATTTGTGCGTGAAACCATGATCAACCTCCAACGGTTCGGGTTCAAGGTACGACACAATGACTCCCCAGTACTAGTCCTATGAATACTAATTGTTTGTTAGAATGTTGAAAAGGGCCTGGAAGAACTGGAGAAGGCATGGTTTAAGCAACGCGCATTCCCTGATGGGTGGATAGACAGAATGGAGGACGTTCGGTCCTCGATCCTCCTCCCTTGATCTTGCACAAAAGCGCTCAGTACGACCAACGAGGCTTTGGCCCATTTGTGGCGATGGAAGACGATTGTATCGTCTGCTACCCACAAAACCTCCCTCTCATGGTCAAGGAGGGCACCATCTTCGCAATCTTTGGTTTTCATTAGCGACGGTCGGGAATCTGCGTTGTGAATAAGTGATAAATATGGCGTTAGGGCGCGGACAGCCATCGAACGGGGCCGGACCCTATGATTCTGATTCGTGGAACTACTAATACTGTTGAGATCATCCCGTGAGGCTACTCGCTACTGGATATCATCTAGCCCTGTTCATCTGCGGGAACCTCCAACATGGAATTGAACATTTAACTTTGGAACATACGGTGTATAGACTTGGGGCGTTTTCTTCAACAAAAATAGACATAGATGACAAAGTGGTTGATTGACCAACTATTGACATATCTCGTGAAAATAAAAGAATCAGTGTGCAAACCACGATACCAGCATGATTATGCGGAATGCCATGATCTATAACAAAAACATCAACGCTATAATATACATTCTAATCGTCCACCCAAGTCTATCACTGGCCCCTTTTTGAATCTTGATTACCACCACCTGCCGAGTACCAGAGACGCGCGTCCCTTTTCAAAAGTAAGTCACATCATAGCCGTGCACTACTGGTCCCCTGATCTTCACCCGAAGGCCGCTCCACCTCCTCGACAGTCGCCTGCGCGCCTTTACTATCGATGAAATGCGAGATCCGGTTCCGCGGCAACCACGCTTCCTCAGGCATAGCAAAGTACGAAATAAGCGCAAAAATAGTAACACCCGCCATGATAATCGGCGCATCTACATAGACAGTCAGTCAACCGTTCACGAACCACCCTCACGACAACAGCAGAAGGCAGGGGAAACATACAATTCAGATTCGCCCCGGTAACGGGAAACGCATACGGCGAAAAGAGAACGGCAACAACCCATCCATTCCAGAACACGCCGATGAACTGGAACGGTTTGCTCCATTTTCCGAGACTCCATTGGGGCTTGGGAAAGCGCTTCGGGGTGCAGAGGAGACGGGCGAGACAGATGAGGCCGTAGGCTGCGGCGCTGGGGACACCGGCGGCGGAGACGAGCGAGGTGAACGCCACGTCGGAGGGGAGGAGTGTGCAGGTGATGAGGGCTGCTACGGCCCACACGACGATCACGGCGTTGCGGGGCTGGCCGTTGTGGACTTTGGAGACCCATGATGAGAAGGGGAGGACGCCGTCGCGGGCTACGGCGAAGACGAGACGCGAGGCCGCTACGATTGCGATTGCGGTGTTCTTGTGGGCAGGGTTAGTTGGGCTGTGATGGGCGGGGTAGGAGGGGGTTAGACTTACGAGCCACAGGGCGACGATGCAGATTACGTTCATGAAAATGTGGCCGCCTCTACCGAGGACAACGGCGTAGAGGGGGACGAATGGCTGCGGGGAGCCGAATGAAAAGAGGGTGTCGGGGTCAGGCTGTAGGGGGTGTGTTAGTTCAATGGAAACTCAGTGTATGTCCCTGAGTTCGATGGACTTACCGCGCAGAAGAGGAACAGGATGATGGTGGCCAGTCCTCCGATTCCGCTCACTATTGTGCTCCAGAAGATGCCTCGCGCTGCGGTTATGGAGGCGTTTTTGGTCTCCTCAGCGACGTGGCCGGATGCGTCGAATCCGATCAGGATACCCGCTGTTGCGAGATAGGACAGACACCAGTTCCAGCCTGGCGGAGCGCCGGTGCCGTTGTAGGTCGACATGAAGGCTTCTTCGGCAGTTCGGAAACCCCAGGTATTGTGTGCGCCGATGGGGAGCCAGATGATGTTCAGGATGAAATCGAGCAGCACAACCATGGATGAGAACCAGAACACATAGCGGAAGTATCTGGCTGTGGGGTGTGAGTGATATGCTTCCATGTTAAGAGGGGCTTGAGCATACGCGGCATGAAGTTCAAGATAGCAGCCAGTGCGAGCAGGATTTCTGTGCAGATCCATTGAACCGCACGGAACTTGACGCTCGATGTGTCCGTCGGGAAATCGACATTGAAGACCGTCAGCTCCTATGAGACTGGTTAGTACTCCCGTCCTGGAGTAGGCGAGTTCCAATGAACAAGGCTCACCGAGAGCATGTAGTTCACAGCTGCTTGGGTGTTGCTGGCGCAGAACGTCGTCCATGCGGTAGTACTCCACCATGCGACGATGAAGCCAAGGAGTCGGCCGAATCGAGGACCACCGGCTTCAGCAGCCCACAGATAAATGGACCCAGCAGACGGGGAGGCCGAGCAGACCTCCGCAATGACCGCGGCAGTAATATAGGTGAAGACCATGGTAACTAAATAACTCGTCCTTATTGAAGTGAGCGACTGGCACCATACACAAATACCATGAGCCTTACCAGTAGGCCAAGTTACCACCAGCCGCAATACCGGTACTGAAAGTAACACGCACACCACCGACGAAGTAAAGCGCAGCTGATGAGTTCGTTAGCCATGCAAATCTTTCGTAGCAGGTTTCTTTGACCTACCAAACGTGGTCGCAAAGTTCTCGAAAAATGTATATGTTCTATGAAGGACCTGCACTTATGAGGTTCTGCTTACAACTGATATGGAATTCCTCCAAAGACTTACTGGCTTGTAGCCCATGGTCCTCTGGTGATATGGTTAGTAATTGCCATAGCGGTATCACGAAAGCGATCTTCCATGCGCTGGGAAATGAAAGCATTAGAAATCAGAAAAGGCTATAAAACGCACCAGAAGGGCTGCATCATCCTGCGACTCTGTTTGGCTTCGGACTTCCTCGTTGACGATTGGATGCGCATCCTGGTCAACGAGCAGATCGGCTTGCTGCTGAGCGGGCGCCATGGCAGCAGTGTCGCAAGGCGAGTGACAGCGGATTATCTTATCTCAGACAACGCGCAAAATCCACGACTCGAATAGATCAGAGGGGGAAAGAAGAACAAGAAGGAAAAAACACAAGTTTAATGTGACCTCCCAACGATTGAGTTTTACAGATAAAAATGTCAGGAACCTGTTGACCCCACCGTGGAAGCGGGAAAGAAACGTGAAGGTTTAAAAAAAAAAAAAAAAAAAAAAAAAAAAAAAAAAAAAAAAAAAAAGGCTAAAACGAACTACTCCGTAGAAAGTTGGCGAAAATTCCCGGTTGTCTTCGGCCTAAGACCCTCCTCTAAAATGACAAGGATTCTCTCGCAAGCGTACCCAGCAGCGCTTGGTGATCTTTAACCGCAAGTTGAGATCGCTGCGGCCGATCGGAGATGATTGCTCCGCAAGAGTTGATATTTAGGAAGCCCGAGGGTCAAAAAAAGCTGGAGCTCAATTTCCTCTTTTTCTCCTACTCTCACGAGCTAAGGGATGAAAATGCCAATCAGAGTAGTTGTGCGGATGGATTCGAGGCCAGTGGGTCTCGAGCTGTACCTTACTTCAAAGAACCTTAAGGGAGGTCACCGCGGCCCATATATGTAGGGTTCCAATCTGAAGCTAATGGTCTGATGTCGTTCTTCTTTCACCGGTGTCTCAAAGGGTGGAATTGTTAAACTAGGTCTTACCTTCAAGGAATCCGCATCTATGTATGTAATCTGATCATAGTGTAGGCGACAATCAGACCGGATGTCGGCCGTCATCACATCATCTCTGCCCCACCGTCGGTGGAGTCGAGCCATTGTCGTTAGGAAATCCGTGCGATGCCGCCAATGAGCCGTTTCTATAGTCCGGTTACAGTTGCTCTGAAGATTGATTCCTTGGGACAAACGAAAATGAGAACAGTTTTTTTTTTTTTGCTATAGTACAAGGTGTATATCGATCAACTGTAGCCTTAGGCTACAGCTGTGTCACGTTGTCTCACGTGACTCTCATCCTACAAAGGGCGGTAAGAATAAGTAGGTAGCTCTCCAACCACCACCAGACCTATATATAGAGAGAGCGATATTCACTTAACGCGATCGTAAGGTGATTATTGATTGATACCAAGACGAATTCTCTTTGCCTCGTAGTATTTGAACCACACACCAATAGTTTTATATTGTAGTAGACCACTGTCATGTCTCAGACCCCTATCAGAGAAAATCTTTTTAGCAATAGTTTTGTATCAATCCACTACACAATATATACCGGTGGTGGGACTGATGGAACGAGGTGGTTGTCGAATCTTGATCCAAGGATGACAAGAACCCTTGTCAATAGCCAAGTGGACTGACAATTCTAGGTGATTCAAGGATTATATATTGTTCATGCAGAACTTGATGCGGGAGGCGCCGTGCAACCCTTGAAACCGCCCAGGATTACTGCGTCAACCTCATGGGGTATCGCAACGCTTCGTTCGTGGTAACTCTCGAAGCTAAATGGTATCGATAACAGGCTAAATTTAGACAGATCTCTGTGTGTTCAGATACGGTACGATGGATATTATTGTATCACGGGTAGCAAGAAGCCATGGAGTAAAAACGTCATAATCGAAAGAAAGGAGAAGTAATTAAAATAAACAGGACATAATCTATGGGAATAGAGAGAAAAGACCAAGACAATCGCTGAAACAATGAGGTTGATCAAGTCGAGATGGGTTGTAAAACCCACATCAAAACATACAGCTGCATGTTTCACGGCGCGATTTCTTTGAGTTGTTTTATGTTAATTTTGAATGTCAGAAGAAATGGTGTATCACTTCAGTCGATGCGAGAAAATGAGGAAAGTATCACGAGACCTGTGTGTGACCAACCAGGCAGAAGGATAGCATGACAGGTGACTTCCTGCGTACATCAATGATCGATCTACCTGGTGGAGAAATATTGAACGCTGCCAAGAAGAACATCATCTTTCTCCACGTTACGCGCGGATCGACTTGCTTTCCCCGCGTTGGGTTCCCCTCAATGCCAACCCAATCTATTTTAGTTGCATGAGTCAATACCACCGTTGCTCTCTCTCGAACCTATAGAGAAGCATGCCAATGCACACGGCGACTCGGAGGAATGCTGGAAAACGTGATCACCGGCCCGGCTGTTGACGGCTGTTGAAAGGGGGGAAAGCGCGTTCGTGCATAGACAACTCGGTCGATGCCTTGCCGAACTACTTGTAATCAATCCTTTCATTCATTAGGTACTCATTTTACCCGGGCCCCTCTTATAGACGGGAGGGGGTGTATGCAGTTCCTTTGTCCTCTGTCTCCTTCGATTTTCTTTATTTATTTCCCTTCTCGTGGCTTCATATAGAGAGTCTGATGCTCTACCCAAGATTAGCTGCCGACCCTGGGGTGGTACGAAGCTGGCCTCGACTGGAATGAGGCCTCCCCGCCTTCACTTTCTTAACCAACTAGACACACTGTCTCGCCCTTACCAACCATGAGTGTTTCCTTGACCCTGAGGTCGGCCTTGGGACCGTGTCGAGCGGCTTCCATCGCCCGCCCAGGAAAATCACTCTTCGCTGTTCAACATTCGAGTAAGTGTTATCTTCGCGCAGCAATTTCCCGGAGCGGTAATCGCTAATGCACCCTCTGTTTGATAGTCATACAAATCCGGACCCCTTATGTGCCATACCAGCGTCAGGCCTACGAAGAACCCTCCTTTCCGCGATGGCCACAGGTCTCCAGGAGAAGTGCGAGCACCTCTTCCTCTCCGTCACCAGTCCCGGTTATTCCATACTCCTCTTTAACAGTCGGTGTACCCCGGGAAACATATCCAAATGAACGTCGCGTCGCCATTACCCCTCAGAACGTTGCCTTGCTACTGAAGAAGGGCTTCTCGCGTGTGTTGATCGAACGTGGTGCTGGAGAGGCAGCCGAGCTCCTGGATCAAGCCTACGAACAATCTGGAGCCACTCTGGTCGACCGAGCGACAGTATGGTCACAAAGTACTATTATCTTGAAAGTCCGCGGTCCTCAGCCTGGCGATGAAGTTGAAGCTCTTCAGCAAGGCAGTACGATCATCTCGTTTCTGTATCCGGCGCAGAACAAACAGCTGGTAGACCAACTGGCATCCCGCCGCGTGACTGCGTTTGCGATGGAAATGATTCCTAGAATATCCCGTGCTCAGACCTTCGATGCTCTTAGGTGCGTAGCGTAAGAGGTTTCGATTATGACCACTCGCTAACTGTGAGGGGTAACTCATAGTTCCATGGCCAACATTGCTGGGTATAAAGCTATTCTCGAGGCATCAAATCAATTCGGTCGTTTCTTGACGGGCCAAGTAACTGCTGCTGGGTAGGTATCCTGCTGGTCCTCTTGGGGCAGCCTCGCTAACTGTAATCCTATGCAGAAAGGTTCTTACAATTGACCACTCTGTAGTGTTAGTACTAACGGAAATTGATCCAGATACCCCCTAGCAAGGTCCTAGTCATTGGGGCTGGCGTGGCTGGTTTGAGTGCCATTGCCTCGGTAGGTCCATATCTCTTTTTGTGAAACAGACCCTGTGCCAACATTGCAACTCTAGGCTCGTCGTCTAGGCGCGATTGTCCGTGGATTTGATACCCGGCCAGCTGTCCGTGAACAAGTTCAGTCTTTAGGTGCGGAGTTCATTGAAGTAGACATACAAGAAGATGGTGCTGGCCAGGGCGGCTATGCCAAAGAAATGTCCAAGGAGTTTATCGAAGCCGAAATGAAGCTCTTCATGGAACAATGTCGTGAGGTAGATATCATCGTGACCACTGCGTTGATTCCCGGAAAGCCTGCGCCCAAGCTCATTACTAAAGAGGTACGTATTTTGATATTATCCACAACCGAAGAAATATGTGCTCACATCGATCAAGATGGTCGCTGCTATGAAACCTGGTTCTGTCATTGTCGACCTCGCGGCAGAGGCTGGCGGTAACTGTGAAGCGACTGTTCCCGGAGAATTGACCAAGTACCACGATGTCACTGTCATTGGTTTGTTCCTACTCTGAGCAGTACTATTTCGTATCTGATGCTAACTTGCGTAGGATACACTGATCTGCCATCGCGACTACCTACTCAGTCATCTACTCTCTACTCCAACAACATCACAAAGTACCTTCTGTCCATGGCACCACAAGAAAAGTCGTTCGGTGTTGATCTATCCGATGAGGTTGTACGCGGCTCAATCGTCACTCTCGATGGAGAAATACTCCCTCCGGCACCACGACCAGCTCCCCCGCCGGCGCCAAAAGTAGAAGCAGTTGCTCCAGCAAAGGAAAAAGTGGACTTGGCACTGACACCTTGGCAAAAAGTAACACGAGATGTGGCTACTGTCACCGCTGGCATGGGAACTACTCTGGCACTAGGAAAAGCAACTGGTCCTATTTTTATGGGAAACATGCTGACTTTCGGGCTTGCTGGCCTTGTTGGCTACCGGGCTGTATGGGGAGTCGCCCCTGCCCTTCATTCCCCGCTCATGAGTGTTACCAACGCGATTTCGGGTTAGTCGAGCTTCTTCAGAGTCATTGGTAACGATACTAATGGGCTGGCACTAGGTATGGTTGGCATTGGTGGCTTCTTCATCATGGGTGGGGGCTATCTGCCTAGCACAATCCCAGAAGCCCTTGGAGCTATCTCGGTGCTTTTAGCATTTGTTAACGTATCTGGAGGATTTGTGGTGACGAAGCGCATGCTAGACATGTTTAAGCGTGGGTGCTCCTGCTTCTTGCAAAATGCTAGCTGCTCATAATGTCTAGGTCCAACTGATCCACCCGAGTACCCATGGCTGTACGCGATACCTGCTGTTCTATTTGGCGGAGGATTTGTTGCTGCGGCTAGTACGGGCATGGCCGGGTTGGTACAAGCCGGATATCTGATTAGCAGCGTCCTCTGCATTGGTGAGTAGAACGATGCAACGTACTTTCCCATCAACTTCTGAACAAGAGATAGGATCGATCTCTGGCCTAGCATCGCAGCAAACTGCCAG